GGAGGAAGCGTTGGACTCGGTGCGGCCATCGTTACGCTGGTCGATTGCAATGTCAACGTTGGCAATGCGAGTGGTCACGGTATTCTGCCGAGAATACTCACGCTGTGGTACACCGCACGCGTGTCCCAGTCGTCCGTCGAGTTCTCCGTCACGCCCATGCCGTTTTCTGTGAAGAAGATGCCCACGTCTGGACCGAAATTGGCTCTAATCCAGAGAGCCACGTCGCGCATGATCCATTCGGTTATCTGGGCAGACCCTCATCGGTAGTACAAATGAAGAGGCGGTTCGTAGTTGGCTAAAATGCTGCGCTGTGTGTGTACTCACCTCGCTGAAGACGTCTCCAGCTGACTTACTCTCGCTGGTATTAGTGACATTAGCGTCGGCTCGGAAGCCTGCCATTCCCGTTGTCCAGGGGCTGCTACTGTTAGAGCTTTTCTTGTTGGGATCAGCGACTTTCTGACCGAAGTAGGCGTTGAGACCTATGAAGTCGATGGCACCTATGGGATGTGATGGCAAGATCAGTCATTGCAACGTCGATGTTGTGGAATTTTAACGTTAAGAATTGTATCGGACAACCAAGAAAGTTGCTGGTGTAACAGAGCATTGCAAAGAGGCCTCCTCTGACCGACCGAGCTGACCGACACGCGGCCAGAGCTGGACCTACGCTGACCGAGGCGCGGTCAGCGGTGACCGCTCACGAGCCGCTTGCAGGTGAGAGGTGAGGAGGGCCGATTCCTCCCTGCCTCCTCTCCTCACCTCTCACCTTCAAACGGCTCGTGAGCGGTCACCGCTGACCGCGCCTCGGTCAGCGTAGGTCCAGCTCTGGCCGCGTATCGGTCAGCTCGGTCGGTCAGAGGAGGCCTTTTTGCAATGCTCTGCTTCAAAGCATATTTTGATTTGTTTTAAAAAAAATTGCAACATTCTTTTTTGGCTCCATCTTTAGTTTAAATGTGATGCTAAATAATTACCATCATCTCTGAACCATCATCATCATCATCAACAACAAGATCAACACCACCATCTCCATACGGGAGCGGCTGCTGCTGCTGCGTCGGCGGCGCGCTAATTGAAACGATTAGCCTCGCGGCAGTTAATCAAAGTCAACCCCCCTCACCCCCCCTCTCACTCCCTCAACCACACTCGGCCCGTCCAGAGCTGCCCCCACGCACGCACACGCACGCACACGAACACACACACACACAAACGCCGCGCTCGCCGCACACACTCGACGCACTTGGCGCCATTTATACCCCTCTGAATGGACTGGGGATGGGCTCGTGAGGCGCGATGGGCCGTGGTGGTTTGGAGCTTCTTCTTGGCGGCGGCGAGCCAGTGGCGCTTCTATACGGCCCCCTCGCACGCACGTCTCTCTCTCTCTCTCTCTCTCTCTCTCTCTCTCTCACTCGCGGGGCACGTGCCCGCCCTTCACCCCCTCCTCCCGCTCCAGGTGGTGCTTACGCTACGACCGACGCCCCTTCCCGGTAGGGGCGCGTGCGGCGCGGGGGCTACACGCAGCAGACGGCTTCCGCCTTTATCCCCCCTCTTGCCCCTCGGGAGCCCCCCGGCGCAACCCCACCACGACTCTTTCCCACTAAAAACAAAACAAAAAAAAGTAAATCCCACCACCACCAGCCCCATTTGTACGGTTGTTGTTATTCCCACCTAAAGAAAACAAGCGGCGGATATACCTCGGCATCGTGACATCTCAACACCCCCTCCCTCTCTCTCTCTTTACGATACTCGCCTCCCCGCCCCTTTCCTCCACCGTTCTCATCTCCAACAGTCTTTTCGACCTCGCGCGGCTCAACCATATCAGTTACCCACCCCACACTACCGTCGCGGAGAGGGAGGGAGCGGGTTGCAACGGCGCCAAAAGCGTCGGGGAATTCGAATAAACGAACGCTAGACGCGGCGGCCGCGACCCTGAACCTCACCCCCCCGGGCCTCACCGGGTCGACTTCCCGTCGGTGAGAAAAAATAAAAAAATAATATGGGTACATGTCAGAAAACTATACACATCTCTGTCCTGAGGGTATTTGGTGCTACTTACAGCATCAATCGATGCAAAACTTC